TGAAAAAAGCATGGAGGGGGAACTGGAACATAGGTTTCTGCTCACAGCCTGAGCTTTCTGCTTATGAAAGGAACTCTTTTTGGATTTCAAAGATGACATCTGATTTTGACCTGTCAGCTTTACCTTCTTCTCTAGTTGTAAGGCTGTGCTTTGCCCCGCAGTCACCTCAGGGATGAAGGCATCCAAGGATGGTCAAAACAAGTGCTTGCCCTAAAAAAAAAAGCCTCTCAAGTTGCTTCTTTCATAGAAGTTTCACTAACCAACCATGAGTTCCTTCTCATGTAAACAGACACAGCTGCCATATGAAGTCTTCCAAGACATTCACTGAGAAACTCAAGGCTGTCCGGGAGCTGCCAAATGGCAGGAACCCATAGATCCAAAGCATACGCTTTGCCCAAACTTTAAGGATTTGTCAAGCTCCAACCACAGCCACTGCAGGCTGCAGAGCTGCTCCTACCAGAGAGGACACCTTAAAGAGGGCCTACAACCTCTTATCTGTTGCATCTTTTAAGACAAGGACCTGATTCACTGGGACCATTAAAGAGGAAGTAAACCCCCAAAAATCACCTCCCTGCAATTTAAGAGTATAATGTGCTATTATTAAAGTCTTACCTGAAAACAAAGCCCTCCAGCGATGTGCTGTCACCACTGACAAGGCTTCCATCTTCACCTGATCTTCCTTTCGGGTTCGCAGGCTACGGCTGTTTGACTGGCCAAGCGGTGATGATGTCAATTCCAAGCGTGTGTGGGAGTCATGGTCGTGACACATCTGTCTCAATGGACACACGCCATCCATTGAGAGCACAGTGCACATGCGCCTGTGACATCACCGGTGCTGCTAAAGAAAATACTGTATATTCTAAACCAGTGGTTCTCAACCTTTCTAATGCTGCGACCCCTTAATACAGTTCCTCATGTTGTGGTGACCCCCAACCATAAAATTATTTTCGTTGCTACTTCATAACTGTAATTTTGCAGTGGGAGGACTAGCGCCCCATCACTGATGTCAGTGGGATGAATAGTGTCCCATCGTTGGTATCAGTGGGAGGAATAGTGTCCCATCATTGGTGTCAGTGGGAGGAATAGTGCCCCATCATTGGTGTCAGTGGGAGGAATAGTGCCCCATCATTGGTGTCAGTGGGAGGAATAGTGTCCCATCATTGGTATCAGTGGGAGGAATAGTGTCCCATCATTGGTGTCAGTGGGAGGAATAGTGTCCCATCATTGGTGTCAGTGGGAGGACTAGTGCCCCATCATTGGTGTCAGTGGGAGGAATAGTGTTCCATCATTGGTGTCAGTGGGAGGAATAGTGTTCCATCATTGGTGTCAGTGGGAGGAATAGTGCCCAATCATTGGCGTCAGTGGGAGGAATAGTGCCCCATCATTGGCGTCAGTGGGAGGAATAGTGCCCAATCATTGGCGTCAGTGGGAGGAATAGTGTCCCATCATTGGCGTCAGTGGGAGGAATAGTGCCCCATCATTGGCGTCAGTGGGAGGAATAGTGTCCCATCATTGGTATCAGTGGGAGGAATAGTGTCCCATCATTGGTGTCAGTGGGAGGAATGGTGTCCCATCATTGGTGTCAGTGGGAGGAATAGTGCCCCATCATTGGTATCAGTGGGAGAAATGGTGCCCCATCATTGGTGTCAGTGGGAGGAATAGTGCCCCATCATTGGTGTCAGTGGGAGGAATAGTGCCCCATCATTGGTGTCAGTGGGAGGAATAGTGCCCCATCATTGGTGTCAGTGGGAGGAATAGTGCCCCATCATTGGTGTCAGTGGGAGGAATAGTGCCCCATCATTGGTGTCAGTGGGAGGAATAGTGCCCCATCATTGGTGTCAGTGGGAGGAATAGTGCCCCATCATTGGTGTCAGTGGGAGGAATAGTGCCCCATCATTAGTATCAGTGGGAGGAATAGTGCCCCATCATTGGTGTCAGTGGGAGGAATAGTGCCCCATCATTGGTGTCAGTGGGAGGAATAGTGCTCCATCATTGGTGTCAGTGGGAGGAATAGTGCTCCATCATTGGTGTCAGTGGGAGGAATAGTGCTCCATCATTGGTGTCAGTGGGAGGAATAGTGCCCCATCATTAGTGTCAGTGGGAGGAATAGTGCCCCATCATTGGTGTCAGTGGGAGGAATAGTGCCCCATCATTGGTGTCAGTGGGAGGAATAGTGCCCCATCATTGGTGTCAGTGGGAGGAATAGTGCCCCATCATTGGTGTCAGTGGGAGGAATAGTGCCCCATCATTGGTATCAGTGGGAGGAATAGTGCCCCATCATTGGTGTCAGTGGGAAGAATAGTTCCCCATCATTGGCGTCAGTGGAATAGTGCCCCATCATTGGTGTCAGTGGGAGGAATAGTGCCCCATTGTGGGTGTCAGTGGGAGGAATAGTGCCCCATCGTTGGTGTCAGTGGGGGGAGGAATAGTGCCCCATCGTTGGTGTCAGTGGGGGGAGGAATAGTGCCCCATCGTTGGTGTCAGTGGGGGGAGGAATAGTGCCCCATCGTTGGTGTCAGTGGGGGGAGGAATAGTGCCCCATCGTTGGTGTCAGTGGGGGGAGGAATAGTGCCCCATCGTTGGTGTCAGAGGGGGGAGGAATAGTGCCCCATCGTTGGTATTAGTGACACAAATGATGGGGCACTATCCCTCCCACTGACACCAATGATACTTACCTTGCTGACTCCTGCTCCAGCCTGGGCTCGCTCTCTCCCATCTACAGCCTGCATACCTGGCTGCAGCAGCAAAATTTGCACTTACCTGTCAGCTGTCTTCCTTCTCTGGCCTATCTCTTCACTCGTTCCTGCAGCTCCCTCGATCTTCTTCGATCTCCGCACGCTGCCGCTCGGCTCCTCCTCTCCAAGCTCCACCTTCTCACCGGTGATTGGCCGCCTGTGTGCCTCTCCTGAGCTACAGTTCCGGTGGCCAATCAGCGGCGAGGAGGCAGTGACAGGGGCAGCATATCATCCCGCCCACACATCGCCGGAGACAGGAGCGGCATCTCGGTCTAAGACCATCGGAAATATGTGTTTTCCGATGGTCTTAGGCGACCCCTGGGAAATGGTCGTTCGACCCCCAAAGGGGTCGCGACCCCCAGGTTGAGAACCGCTGTTCTAAACGGTGCTCGTTTAGAAGATATTTACCTACAAAGGCTTACCTGTAGGGATAAATCATAAGGAGACCTTCACTACCACTTTAAGGACTTATTCTAGTAGCAAATGGATGGGCCAACAACCAGAAACCCCCATTTTCTGTTGAGACTAATCAACATATATCACTTCATGCAAATAAGGGTGCACAGGAAGGTATTTGGGATGTTTAGATGGCTGCCAAGACCTAAATACAGTGACTTTAGAATAGGAGGACTCTATGAAGTGGCAACTTCATGTTAGTCTGGACCACATCCACCAGGAAACCCACTGTGGTTTTCTATGTCTGAAACAGCCTGTCAGGGCTCCGGGTATGACCAGAGGTATGTGAACTGACGCAGGGAAACACAGGCTTCAGATATGTTATAAACAATATAATTTATTAATACTAACAATACAAAACGCAGTGCAATACTAAAACATAAACACAGTGCAAACGAACCAAACCAAACCACCCACAGATAACAATACATACAATGCAAGCGTAGTCAGGCAGGCCTGGTCAATAACAATCGGGCAGGTAGGAACAGGAGGAGCAGGCAGAGAGTAGTCAGGTCATGAGCCGGGTACAGCAACTAACGGGCAGGTAGGTACAGGGGGTCAGGCAGAGAATGGTCGGGGTCACAAGCCAGGGATCAAGCAGGAGAAGTCAGCAGAGGTCAGGATCAAGCAGGGTCGGCAACAAGTCAGTCAGGCAGGAACAGGAATGCAGGTAACAAGATACAGGGGCCCATGGAAAAACACACACCAAGGCACAGACTGCAGGTCTGGCCATCCCTAAAATACACCTGCAATCAGCCTCAGGTGTTTGGCTGACTGCAGGGTTGAGTCTCTGATTGCTGAGAGCACCCGCTGGCCAGCCCTGGTACTGCAGCCCACAAGGCAGGTGAGTCCCACCATTATTGGCAAGTCCATTCCTGACAGTACCCCCCCCCTCAAGGAGCGGCCTCAGGACGCTCCAAACAGTCCTAGCTGGGCAAAATGTTCCACCGCCCGGGTCTGGTAACTGGCACATCGGGCTGGACTCCGGGCAGAGGCACATCGGGCTGGACACCGGGCAGAGGCACATCGGGCTGGACACCGGGCAGAGGCACATCGGGCTGGACACCGGATCACCAGGCGGAGCAGCAGGCACTGGATCACCAGGCAGAGCAGCAGGCACCGGGGCACCAGGCGGAGCGGCAGGCACCGGGCCACCAGCGGCAGGCACCGGGCCACCAGGCGGGGCGGCAGGCACCGGGCCACCAGGCGGGGCGGCAGGCACCGGATCACCAGGCGGAGCGGCAGGCACCGGGCCACCAGGCGGAGCGGCGGGCATCGGGCCCCAGGCGGGGCGGCGGGCACCGGGCCACCAGGCAGAGCGGCGGGCACCGGGCCCCCAGGCAGGTGGGAGTGGCGGGCACCTGGCCCCCAGGCGGAGCGGCAGGCACCGGGCCCCCAGGAGGGGCGGCAGGCACCGGGCCCCCAGGCAGAGCAATGGACACCGGGCCCCCAGGCGGAGCGACGGGCACCGGGCCCCCAGGAGGAGCGGCGGGCACAGGGCCCCCAGGCGGGGCGGCAGGCACTGCACCCCCAGGCGGGGCGGCAGGCACCGGGTCATCAGGCACGACAGTGGGCATCGGGTCACCAGGCATCAGGTCATTTGGCTCGCCAGCGGGCACCGCGTCATCTGGCAAGGCAGTGGGCACCGAGTCACCAGGCACGACAGTGGGCTCCGAGTCAACTGGCATGACCGCGGGCACTGGGTCAGACATTGGATCGTCTGGCTCGACAGCGGGCATCGGGTCACCAGGCATCAGGTCATTTGGCTCGACAGCGGGCACCGCGTCATCTGGCAAGGCAGTGGGCACCGAGTCACCAGGCACGACAGTGGGCCTTGAGTCAATTGGCAGCGAGCACCGGGTCATCTGGCGCCGGATCGTCTGGCTCGACAGCGGGCATCGGGTCACCAGGCATGACAGCGGGCACTGGGTCATCAGGCATTGGATCGTCTGGCTCGACAGCAGGCATCGGGTCACCAGGCATGACAGCGGGCACTGGGTCATCAGACATTGGATCGTCTGGCTCGACAGCGGGCATCGGGTCACCAGGCATGACAGCGGGCACTGGGTCATCAGGCATGATAGGATCATCAGGCTGGGTACAGACATCAGGCTGGGTAGAGACATCAGGCCGAAGTGCAGGTGCCGAGGCACCAGGCTGAACCACGGAAGGCAGGTTCTCAGACGGTAGGCTCACTGGTTTGGATACTGGCAGGATGGTACTGGTTGGACAGCGGGCATCGGGTCACCAGGCATGACAGCGGGCACCGGGTCATCAGGTACCGGATCGTCTGGATCGTCTGGATCGACAGCGGGCACCGGGTCATCTGGTGTTGGATCGTCTGGCCGACAGCGGGCACTGGGTCATCAGGCATTGGATCGTCTGGCTCGACAGCGGGCATCGGGTCAGCAGGTATGACAGCAGGGCACCGGGTCATCAGGTACCGGATCGTCTGGCTCGACAGCGGGCATCGGGTCACCAGGCATGACAGAGGGCACTGGGTCATCAGGCATGATAGGATCATCAGGCTGGGTACAGACATCAGGCTGGGTAGAGACATCAGGCCGAAGTGCAGGTGCCGAGGCACCAGGCTGAACCACGGAAGGCAGGTTCTCAGACGGTAGGCTCACTGGTTTGGATACTGGCAGGATGGTACTGGTTGGAAAGAATTTTCGCTTTTTTCTGGTTTTAACTACTGGAGCACTGCAAGTAAACGCAGGTCTGCAAACGAATGGAGCAGCTGAGGACAGAGAAGAGCTGGAAGATGGAACAGAGGAGGGAGCAGCCGCCACAGAGGACCTCTCCACAGGGCCAAAGAAAGGATAGGTGCAGCGATGGAAGCAGGGGACTGGTATGTGGTAGTTAGCAGAGTATACTGGGCCGTCAGGGGGGGTGCTGTCGGGGATGCAGGAAGAGTGCCTTGAGCAGAGGAATGACGTTGCAAGCTGACTGAGGCTGGGTGCAACATCTCTGACCATGTCTGCAGTATGGGTTGAACAAAGCTGAGCTTACACAAAGCCTGTCTGGTCAAAGACTGCACTGCGTTTATACAATCCCTTAATACCTGTGGTGAACATGCAGCATAATGCTCCAAGAAGCAATCCACATCATCCTCTAATAACCACACCAGGGACTCTACCTGGTCTGCACTAAATGGTGGCAAAAAGTCATTCCTGCTTTCAGGGGTACCAGATGAAGCCAACTCTACACAAACCTGAATCAAAGGTTGCACCTCAGAGAACTCTGTGCCCTGATCTACTAGAACATGAGCGATCCGTATACATTCTAGCAGTTGATCCTGGGTATACTCCCTCAGAGTCTGATAAACATATTCTCTGTCATCAAAAAACCAGCAGCGACAAATACACAACCTCATCAAGATCCATCCTTCCCAGCAACAAGCCAAGATGGCTTCCCTGTGCAGCCACTTCTGGTCAGGATTGGCCTTGGTGTAATGTCAGGGCTCCAGGTATGACCAGAGGTATGTGAACTGACGCAGGGAAACGCAGGCTTCAGATATGTTATAAACAATATAATTTATTAATACTAACAATACAAAACGCAGTGCAATACTAAAACATAAACACAGTGCAAACGAACCAAACCAAACCACCCACAGATAACAATACATACAATGCAAGCGTAGTCAGGCAGGCCGGGTCAATAACAATCGGGCAGGTAGGAACAGGAGGAGCAGGCAGAGAGTAGTCAGGTCACGAGCCGGGTACAGAACCTAACGGGCAGGTAGGTACAGGGGGTCAGGCAGAGAATGGTCGGGGTCACAAGCCAGGGATCAAACAATCAAACAGGAGAAGTCAGCAGAGGTCAGGATCAAGCAGGGTCGGCAAACAAGTCAGTCAGACAGGAACAGGAATGCAGGTAACAAGATACAGGGGCCCATGGGAAAGACACACACCAAGGCACAGACTGCAGGTCTGGCCATCCCTAAAATACACCTGCAATCAGCCTCAGGTGTTTGGCTGACTGCAGGGTTGAGTCTCTGATTGCTGAGAGCACCCGCTGGCCAGCCCTGGTACTGCAGCCCACAAGGCAGGTGAGTCCCATTATTATTGGCAAGTCCATTCCTGACACAGCCCCATACCTTGAGACTCCTCCTGAGAGTACTCGTCTACAGAGGATTTCCGATCCTAATTAGCTTTCTCCTCCTCTTCTTCCTCATCTTGAGGGCTATACTCTGTTACTTAATCCCCCAACAAAAAGGGAGGGAGCATCCACGCTTGTTGCCCAGACATTTCAAACCAGTGAGGAACCTTTTGCGCTGGTCATGAAAACCAGAAATGGCTGCTGAAAATTCCTCCCTCGACACAAAGGAACTGAAGGATTTTGCTCCTGAAACAGTAGAATTGCCAGATATGGGCATGTATTCAGAGATAATCCGACCACTACAGAAGCCATTACAGGGTAAACTGTGCAAGGGGTCCACCCTACCTAATAGAGGGTTAGATTAGATAGATTAAGAAGCATACTCCATCATCCTCCCCTCCTCACTTCTCTGCTTGAATAATGCCATGGTTTCCTGAAGGTCAGTAGGCCTGTAACTCCAAAATGGGAGTGGTCACCCAGCTGAGAGGCATGTCTGCTATGGCCAGACACCTAAGTTGCAAGTCACCCTCTGAACAACAAATGTTCCAAAGCACTGGTGTTGCCACACTGTAGGCGTGCTGTAGCTGTGCAGAGGCTGCATTGGAATAATGCAGGGCTTGCGCTGGAGCTGTGTCAGTACTGTGTAGCACAAACAGAAAATTTCCCAGCACACTTATCAGCTAGCCTGCAATAAAACTAAATTAGCCCTGTTTAACATTGCATGTTAAAACAGAGGTTTTAGTTGCACACATTTGCAAATATATGTGAAACCCACAGTGCCTCACCAAGGCTCCTCTCTATACTGTGGTCCTAACTCTATAGTTTTGACAGTCTCCAAGTTGGAGCATATATTGCAGTGAATAAAGAGCAGGTTTGCCTGGAAGTATCCAAGTTATCCCCATATCAAGTTCAACTGTACAGATAAGTTGCAACCACCCCAATCTATAACTAGCATTTACAGTAAGGTGCATATGGAAGGAGCCTTGTACATTATAAACAACAGAAAAATACCCAGCACACTTACCAGCTAACCTGCAATAAAACCAAATTAACCCTGTCTAACAGTTTGTGTTAAAACAGAGGTTTTAGTTGCACATATTTGCAAATATAAGTGAAAGCCACAGTGCCTCGCCAAGGCTCCTCTGTATACTGTGTCATGGTCCTAACTCTATAGTTTTGAGAGTCTCCATGTAGGAACACATAGCAGTGGATAAATTAAGGGCAGGTTTGTTTGGAGGTAGCCCAAATCTCCTTAAAGGCACAGGGACACACTGGACACTCAACAAGAGCACAACGGTTGCCGAAGGTATCCAGTGCATACTTTTTAAAATTAATATTGTGTAATAGCATACTACTGAACTAAAAGTTTCCTACCCAACTTAAATATCATTTGGGAATCACTCGATTATCACTTTTCTCACCCTCTGGTGCAAACACAAAGATACTGTACTGAAAAACTGATAAATTGCTAAACAACTTTCACATTACATTCAACTATGGCCTATTCAAACAGAACAAATATATGGGCATTTTCATTTTTGGGGGGAATGGCTATGCAAATGTAGCATAAATCGACCCCATAGTGTACCATTAAATAAGTGGATGATAAATTGACAATAAGACAATTTTGGTATCATCTATTTTTCAATCTTCCCTGTTTGCTGTTACTTGTCATGGGCGAATGACTGCCTAGCTCTACATAGAAGACAGTCAAGCAAAAAAAAACATCTTTTAGAGAATAGTTTGCCCTATTACTGCTAAAATCATATATTGTTTATTTGGCAAAAAGCCAGAAACACTTTTTTAGGCACAGGGTGAGCGATATCCTGGAATTAACATGATATCTTTTAAATTCTGCTCAAACAGCTTGAATCAACTCTGCAGCAAGGCAATGAGTTCAAAAGCTGTTGCATCATGTCCAGATAACCATGGTGGGATTTACTAGGGACACATTTTCAGGAAACACGACATGACAGAATCATAAACAGGACCATAGGCAGATCCAAAACATAAATGGATAAAGCATTCCTTCCCTGAGATCTGTTTCTTGTCATAGTAAGAGAATTCTAATGTCGTATCCTTGTGCACACCATAAACTGACTTGAGAGTTGATCCTAACCTCTGCCTGACAACAGTAGGGTCCATTGGTTCGAATCCCAACCACGGCACTACCTGCCTGGAGTTTGCATGTTCTCCCTGTGCTTGCATGGGTGTCCTCCGGGTACTCTGATTTCCTCCCACACTCAAAGACATGCTGGTGGGCTAATTGGACCCTGTCTAAATTGACCCTAGTATGTATGAATGTGAATTAGGGACCTTAGACTGTATGTTCATTGAGGGTTAGGGACTGATGTGAATGTACAATATATACAGCTGGTAAAATAAGTATTGAACACATCACCATTGTTCTCAGTAAATATATTTCTAAAGGTGCTACTGACATGAAAATGTCATTACATGTCAGTAACAACCCATGCAATCCATACATACAAAGAAACCAAAACAAATAAGTTCAGAAATTATGTTATTAATTTATTTAATACTTCTTACAAAATCCTTTTTGGTAATGACAGCTTCAAGATGCCTCATGTATGGAGAAACTAGTCAGATGCATTGCTCAGGAGTGATTTTGTCCCATTCTTCCACACAGTCTTCAAATCTTGAAGGTTCCTTGAGCCTCTTCTATGAACTCTGATCTTTAGTTCTTTCCATAGATTTTGTATTTGATTCAAGTCAGGTGATTGGCTGGGCCATTATAGCAGCTTTATTTTGTTTTTTTAAACCAATTGAGAATTTTCTTGGCTTTGTGTTTGGGATCATTGTCTTGCAAATGTCCACCGTTGTTTCAGCTTCATCATCCTGGTAGATGACAGCAGATGTTTACCAAGAATGTTTTGGTGTATTTTTCCATTCACCCTTCCTTCAACGAAATGAAGTTTGCCAGTACCGTATGCTGAAAAACAGCCCTACACCATGATGTCCCCACCTCCAAACCTCACTGCTGGTATGGTGTTTTTGGGTTGATGTGCAGTGCCATTTGACCTCCAAACATGGTATGTATTATGGCATTCAAAGAGTTCAATTTTGGTCTCATCTGACCAGACTATATTCTCCTAGTATTTCACAGACTTGTCTAAATGTTGGGCAAAAAACTTTAAATGAGCTTCAGCATGCTTTTTCTTCAGCAATGGAGTCTTGCGTTGTGAGCATGCATACAGGCCATGGTTGAGTGCATTACTTATTGTTTTCTTTGAAACAACTGTACCTGCTAATTCCAGGTCTTCCAGGTCTTTGGTGGTCCTTGGCTATTGGACAACTCTTCTGATAATTCTGTTCACTCCTCTTTCAGAAATCTTGCAAAAAGCACCTGGTCATGCCTGGTTTATGGTGAAATGATGTTCTCTCCACTTCCAGATTATGGCCCCAACAGTGCTCACTGGAACATTTAGAAGTTTAGAAATCCTTCTGTAACCAATGACATCAGTATAGTTTGCAACAATAAGGTTGCAAAGGTCTTGAGAGAGCTCTTTGCTGTTATCCATCATGAGATGTTTCTTGTGTGACACCTTGGTAATGAGACACGTTTTTATAGGCCAGTTGAGACTGAACCAGCTGATATTAACTTGCACTGACAGGGGGCACGATTGCTTTCGAATAATAGATTTCAGCCGGTGTCTTGACTTTCCATGCCTTTTTGCACTTCCCTTTATTCCCTTCCCTTTTTTCATGTGTTCAATACTTTATCCCTGTGTCATTCCATTTTATTACACATAACTTAAGTTCTGAATTTATTTATTTTGGTTTCTTTGTGTGTATGGATTGAATGGGTTGTTACCAACACAAGGTGAAAATTTTACGTCAGTAACACCTTTAGAAATATATTTACTGAGAAAAATGGTGACATGTTTAATACTTATTTAACCCACTGTATATATGTAAAACACTGTGTAATTTGATGGTACTATATAAATACCTGTGATAAATAAATAAACCTTCCACTACTAATACCTTCCACACTATTCTGTAGCGTATCTCTTTATAATAATCCCTTAATGTCCAAACAACTCCACAGCAGATATAACTTTTTACCAAACATAGTTTTGAGCAAATATACCACACAAAGTGAAGTTGCTTCTTATGCCTACAGCTTATTTGAATGAAGAAAGCAACCCAGAAGTGAAAGGGGAGGATGAAGACACAAGAAGTGCCCACGAGAGGAGTTACAGGATGGTTACAATGAGAGTGAACTGCAAGAGGGAACGACAGGAGGAGGACTGTTAGGTTAAAGTT